CTCAAGTTGGTTGGTGAGAAACTTGGGTTTCAGTTGGCAATCTGTTAAAAATATTGATTAATGTAATTCTTAGCAAATGTTGATATCTGGCATTAGTTATCTGATTGTTTCAGATGAGACCATATTTTAATAAAGAAGTTTTGTCAGTGGGCTTTCTATACAGGCTGATTATTAGGTAATTATTTTCTTTAGTAGAAACAAGAGCCAGGAAGCTGTTGATTATTTTCCGTAAAACAATGTTGTCACAAAGCTTTTTTTTTTAGCAATATGTAAAATTATTGAGAGATTCTAAATATTCTTCTCAGAGGTATTTATAACACCTAGAGGCTTATGTTATGGGTTCCTTGAATAAAATTATTGAACCTTTAAGGACATAATTTCTTTGATATTAACATTAATAAACATATAAAACATTCATTATTAAAAATACAGAAGCAGGATAGGATGTTGTAAGCTACAATAATTGGGTCATCACAAGATCTCCCTGGTTTTCTGAGGCCTGAAGACACAGCCAGGTTTTGAGGAGCCTGCAGAATGGTAAGAGGGATGGAGTTAACCTTACTTTTGGGGGGAGTTTCCTTAAGATAGATTTTACAGCAGAGATGTGATATTCCCTGACTGATGGGACCCACAGCATGCCTTCTTTGTCAGATCTGGTGCAATGGGCAGATGTAATCAGGATGAGGCAGTGTATAGCAACAGCACTTATATAAAGCTTCATAGAGCTTTAGCAGCCCTCTCTAAGCAACTTACAGAGTCAGCCTATTGCCCCCAACAATCTGGCTCCTCATTTTACCCACCTTGGAAGGATGGAAGACTGAGTTAACCTTGAGCCTGGCGAGATTTGATCTGCCAAATTGCAGGCAGCTGGCAATCAGCAGCAGTAGCCTACAGTTCTGCATTCTAACCATTGCGCCACTATGGCTCTTATAAAACATTGTTACATTGTAAGGCATTGATTGCTGGGTTTGTTATAATAAAACACTGAAAATTAAATTACATTTTCATTAGATGCATGATATCCAAATTTGGGAAATAACTGTCTAAAAAAAAACATAAGAAAGAAGTTTGAAAAACTTCTATGGTAAAATTACTCAAATTTAGTCATCTTCTATTATCTATATTAATAGTATTTCATAAATATTTTGAAAATTGTACCTACTTTATTGAAATTATATTTCATTGATTATTTGTGATTACTTTCTTGCATTTATTTATTAACATAAAAGATATCTCATTGTGTTGGTGCATCTGGTCATTACATTTCACTCTGTCAGCTAGATTTAAACTTATAACACTCAGATAATAATTTTGTCTTAAGAATTCTATTCCTAAATATTTACCTTTCCCTTTTTTTACAGTCAATCACTATATCTTTTATTATAGAGATTCAGTGGTCCAAGCTTCAACAATTTCATTCAAGATATTTATTATAAACTGATTTAATAAAAATAGAACTAAAATAACAAATTATAAAGCAACATAGTGAAAACAGAAGCATTAACTAATAAGAATCAATGAAGCTAAAAAGATAATTAGTTTTATATAAATTATTTAATTCAATAATTTGGATTGCATGACTGTTTCATGGGTGCATTCTGATGTGTTCACCCACATATATAACTTTGCCATAGTTTATCATTCCACTCACAGTTTAGCATTATTGACAACCCTGTTTTAATGACTGCATTAAATGCAATAATAAAACAACAGTCCAGTAATTAAAATTAATCATTGTTAATACATATAATTAATATGCAGTTTACTGAATATAAATGTCAGGTTCTGGTTTGCGTGTCCAAGTTTTCTGCATGTAACCTAAAACTGTATTTCTCGAGTTCTCTCTAGCCTGAAAGCAGAAAACTGTTAACTGACTTCCTTTTTCCTCTTCCAGAAATTTCTGCTACATACATATCCCGATGGGCGGAGATGTCTTTACAAAATATTTATTTTACATTTTACTATATATATTTATTCATGGCTTTACAAATGTCATAGAACATCTGTCCATGACCACTGGATACAGTATTTTGCATATCTTTCAGTTTTGTCTACTAAGATCTCCTCATATATACCCATGTGTACACTGCAGACACAAAAGCCTAGAAAAATAGCTTTAAAAGAAGTTCATTTGCATCACTTTCTATGGTGTCACCAAAATCATCCCGGCAAAACTATACCTTCTCATGAAGGTATTATATTCCAGAAGAATACAAAGATGCAACACTTACTTGCTCGGAGGATGTTCTCCTTACTGCTGCACCTGGATTGGACCTGTAGAGAGAAGGACAGAACTGGTAAAGCAGAACAAACATTATAAAGTGACTACAGGAATATAGTGGGCAAGCTCCTGGGACCTGAAGACAGAGGCTATTTTCATTTTTTAAAATCTTCTTACACAACTTATATTTAACAAACTGTTGCTTAACAGTTTGAATTAAATATAAACAAGAGAAACTAAACCAATGTACAAATTTTGTTTAAAGCTGAACCATAATAATTTATATATATATATGTATATATTCAATTTTAGTTATGTTTTACCTTTACTACAAATATATTAATGAGAAAAATATAATGTAATCTATATTTTACTTCAAATATGAAATACAGAAATAAAATACTGTTGGAAGAACTTGAAGCTAATTGTAATAGATCATTTAAAACAGGACAAGATAAAAACATTGTACTTAGCATTTCTAGCTGTTTCATAATTTGATCAATTATTTCCTAAGCACAAATTTCTTCAAAACTTTGATGTTATTGTTTTGTCTTAAACATGATATCTCATTATACTATAGAGGTGGCTCTTGGTTAATTATCACTTGTTCAGAGACTGTTTGAATTTATGACAGTGCTGAATGAGTGGTACTTACGAATGGTCCTCAAAATTCTGGGCAACACAATAACCCTGCAATCACATGATCCAGACACTTGGCAACTGGCCCAGATATTTTTTACTATCATGGTGTCCCAGAATCACGATTATGATTTGTGACCTTCCCTACTGGCTTCCCACAAGCAAAGTCATTGAAGAAGCCAGTAGGAAGTCATAAGTCATGATCACATGAGGTACTCACTTAACAACCCACAGTAATTCACTTAATGATGTAACTGGGGATCTGCCGGAATTACTGTTTGTAAGCAACATGGTCACATGACATCATGCTTTATGACTGCATCACTTAGCAATGGAAATTCTATTCATAATTATTGCCCTTAAGTGAAGACTATTGTATTATTATTTATCAGAGGGCCTGTTGTAGGGAAATCAATCAGAATGTTTTTACAGAGGACTTTTGAGAAACATAACATCTTTTTTGTTTCTTATTTAATATACTGGTTGGGTTGCACTCCTGAAAACAACTTTTGAGTGGTTTTCAGAAGTGCTAGTCTAATGAATAATAAAGGAATACTGGCACTTGATTTATTCCGTTTCCAAGATTCTGCATATTATATTATCTGTTCTATACCATGTCTACAGTATGCATGAATATTAACCTAAACATATTCTAAACTGGTATGTTTAGCTTAAAGAAAGCATGTCAGCAAATACAAAGTACTATCATCAGGAAAAGGGTTTGGATTTATTTGAAAACAGGATAAGGATCAAGGTGTAGAAGTTTTGCAGAGGGGGATCCAAACTTGAAATCAAGAGCAATGTTCTGACTGTGAGAACTCTTTTAACAGTGAAGAACCTGATTCTTAAGTTGTGGGTACTCTACCATTGGACTTGGTGAAACAAAGATTGGGTAATAATTTGTCTAGGGCAGGGGAGTCAAACTCAAGGCCCGGGGCCAAATCTGGTATGTGGAGCTACCCTGGAAACAGCAAAGGACTGGCCCGCGGTGTCTCAGGAGCCCTTGGGAGAGGGTTGTAGGAGAACGTCGCAGCAGAAAATGGAGCTCGGGGACCCATTTTCGCTGACAGAGTGCTTGGGCCACCAGAGGCACCTCGAACACGAGTGATGTTAAGCTGCGTCCCCTGCCCCCCATGGTCAAACACAACCCTGAAGCAGCCCTCAATGAAATCGAGTTTGACACCCCTGGTCTAGGGTGATATGAGGATTCATGCTCTGGACAGGGGATTGCATTAGAAGACCAATGTGTCTTCTAACTTTATGATTCTATGAATCTCTTAGTTCCTTGACAATAAATCTAAATAGTGGTACTCAGTGGGATTGTTTCTTACTAGGTTGTATTTTGTTGAGAGGAGTTAGAAAATATCACATTTTTCAAAGAGCTCTGAATGAGGGAATAAAACTTTTGCATGCACTATTAATCGCACAACCTACATTTCCAAATACTTGTTTCTTCTAAAAAGAAAAGAAGCAACTTAAACTATGATTCTAGATTTCAGATTCCAGATTCTAGTTTTATTTTGTTGTGGCCCACCAGAGGCCAGCGGAGCTGGAAGCAGATTCAGACAGTGAGGAGGTTGGAGAGGAACATGGGCCAGTCCTGGAGTCTGGGTGCAGTTCTAATGAAGACTCTGTGTCAGAGGCAGAGAGGGGAACAGAGCTGTATGTCAGTTATCAGCTGCCTTCTGAGTCAGACATCAGTGAGGCAGATGAACAGTTGGAGCCTGTTCTCAGTGTGCGTGTGCTCAAGTTGCAAGACGAAAGAAACAGCTAAAGAACAGGGGTCAGCTTGGGAGTAAGGTCACAGGTGGATGATGAATGGCCCCTCCCAGAGGGAATAAAAGAGGGGCAAAATGGGAGTGGAGTTTGCAGAAGACAATTGGTTCACCTAATTGGTTCGTGACTCTCCAAGACTCCTTGCCAAGTTTTGCAGATATCAGCCTGGCAGCTCTCTATGCCAGATAAGATCTGTGATTGTAAATCCTCCCTTGAAAGATTTTGCTATATGTGAATGAGCAGAATTCACAGAAAATTAATAAAAGGGGTTTTGCTTCATGCTCTTGGGAAGCCTAGGTCAGAACATACTTGTCAATGAAGAACATTTAACATGAAAAGTAATGAGGGAGCAAACAATTATTGAGGTTAAAATAAAGATACCTGTGTAGTTCTGCAGCTACCTCTGAGAACAAAATTGTATCTTATAAAATGTCTGTGGAGATCCTCAGTCATTCAAGACATAGCAGTCTCAAAGGTACTTTTCCAAAAGGCAAATGGACTTTTTTTCTTGAGAAAGAAGAACAAAATGTTTTGCTTCTCATCCAAGAAGCTTCATCAGTTGTGATAATGGGGGGAGGGAGTGATGGAAGGATAGGTTCTGACCAGATGATTGGGGGACAGACAGACAATAGAAGGATTATATTTCTTTGCAATCATGTAGTCATTAGCACTTTCTTTGAGAGCTCTTGAGGCCACTTGGAGGTTTATCTTTGCCCACAGGGTCACCTGAATCAGAGTGTGATTGGTTGTGAAATCTTCTTGAAACTGCTGCAATCTAGCCCTTGCAGGAGTTTCAAGAAAATTCTACAACCAATCACACTCTGATTCAGGTGAACCTCAGGGCAAAGATAAACCCCCAAGTGGCCTCAAGAACTCTCAGGGAGAGTGCTAATGACCAGATGACTGCAAAGAAATATAATCCTTCCATTCTCCCATCACCACCATCTGGTCAGAACCTACAGTTCCACCCCCACCCCCCCATCCAATCTCAACTGTCATACCTATTCTTCCATTCCCCCACTCCACCATCACAACTGATGAAGCTTGTGGATGAGAAGCAAAATGTTTTATTCTTCTTCCTCAAGGAAAAATCAATCCAGTTGCCTTTTGAAAAAGCACTTTTGAGNCATTATACATTCTGCTTTATGTAAACACCTTAGTGTCACACCCTAATAATATTTCTTATAGAAATATTCCTTGGGTTTACTTTCTGGGAGCAAAATTACAATTTTTACTTATGGCAAAAGGCAATGAATTATTTTATTGTGCCATTTATGTTTAAAAAAATTATATGTATGTAAAAATCTTGTTAGGGTATTATCGTTTTTGCCATATTCTTATTGATATGTCCAACCAATAAACCAGAAATGATCTGGGGTAAGGCTGCCGTGGAATGGAGCATATGCGGAAAATTTGATTCTTGCTCATTCCTCCTTTTACAGTACCTGAACCACATCCAATCTTTTCATGAGGATTTCTTATGTCTATGGAGAATGCTTTAGGAAAGCAAAAGGAGGTGGTGGGAGATGAAAAGTGTGCCCAGTATGCTTCACTGAGAACAAGTCAGGGTGAAAGATCTATTGGTCATAGAGTTCTACTCTGCACAGGATATACTAGATATTTTTATTCAGCAACATACTTTTATCTGAATAAAATTATCCTGAAATCTTAAAAAAAACAACTAAGGGCCAATTCAATAATAGCTAAAATCCTTTAATGGGATGGATGGATATTTTCTTTTATAGCACTGAAAATTAACTATTATAATTAAAAAACATATACATAAGCAAACTAACTGATTTGTAATAATACTTCCAATTTATATTGTGTAATGATAAATTAAGCTTACTTTAAATACAGTATATATACTCTTAGTATGAATGAATGTCATTAAGATAAGGACTAAAATGCTGTTGAGGACTATTGAGCCTGTTTTTCCAGGCAACATACAGAAACCAGCACTCTGCTGTGATACTAAACTGGAGAAAAGCATCCTGGCATATTCATAATTGTTAACATTCACCTCTGACAGCGTAGCCATCTTTTACTGAAGCTGGAAAAGGTGGAAGGTTATCTTTTGCATAAACATCTTGGGCAAGGACTCTGCCCATTCCATCTAATACATAAACACAGGGGGGAAAAGAGAGCATACATGAAATTCTGATAGCAAAAACTTTATTTTCAAAAAAACTCTTTCAACCTTTATCAAAATTTATAAGGGAGCATTTAGAAAAAATTCCAAAGTTTGCCAGCCAGATTAAGGGAGATGTATGGAACTAAATACACAGTGCTAAAAATAGTAACTTTAATATAAAATGAGTTCTGACTTCTCTATTTAAGTGTGCCCATATTCCTTTCAAGGACATTTTGAATACTTCCCTTTTTAATTTTATTCTCAATAATCTGTGAAGAGGCACAGAGACATACCACAATAAAAATAATAATAATTGGAAAAAAAAACCATTTGCAAAGAAGAACATTGGCTATTGTAATTAGACTAAGAATAGAACAATAATATAATAATGTAGATTTTAAGGGTGATGTTGTATTTGCAAAATATTTTGATCTCAAAAAATTCTGATCTTGAGTCAGTTATTTCATAAGTTCAAAGACCAAAATATAACATGCATCCTGAGAACTACCATTCTGTTGGAAGATTCTGTCCAGTTTCCTCCTGGAAGGCTTGGGCCTTCTCCCTGCAGGCCTACTTTCCTTTCCTTTTTGTGCAGCTACTGAGAACTGCAGTGAGGTGCAGCTACTGGAGAAAGCTAGTCAATGTCATATTTCTGAAGGTAGAAAGACCCTCAGAACATTGTGAAGTCTGGGGCTTGTCTTGAGAAGTTTCTGAGGCTCTTTCTAGTCATTGAAAACATTGTGAGGGATGGTGCTCACCTTGCAATGTTCTAAAGTTCTTTCTACCTTTGAAACTTTGCAAGCACCAGTGGTAGATTGGGGAACAAGTGCTAGTGGTGGGGCAGGAGATAAAGACCAGCTGTGAAGCGTTCCAATAGTGAATTGGAGAGAAGACCCAGATTTTCTAGGAGTGGTTGGGAGAGGGGAAAGCCCAAATGTTCCAGGAGGTGGTGGGGCAGGGAGAAGGCCTAATTCTTCTGGGCATGTTACGGATGGGGGGGGGGAGAAATCTGTGAACCAGTGTGTCTATTGAAAGTCTTGAGGAAGCATATGTGCCAATGTCACCATTGCCTCTACAGACCTTCAAGGTCATGGAAATTTTCTCAGGAAACACCCAAGTCTCTAAGATGACATCCAGTGTCCTCAGAGGGACTCCAAGGGCTCCAAGGGCTCCAAGGGCGGTGGATGACTATTTCTGTACTTCTTTATCTTATTTAGAGTGTGCCAGCTTGTCTGGGTGAAGTGTGCCAGTGCTTCTGGGTGGAGAAGTGGACAATATAGCAAACATATAAATATGAGTGTCAAAATATGTTCAGGGTTCTCCCTTGCTAAAGAAGGCCTTTCTTTATTTAGCTGAATAAATGCATAAAGCTTATGAAGGTAAATACCTGGACCTAGTCTTTCTTTATACCAAATCTGAAATCGGCAAAATACTGGGACTGTGATTATTGAGCGAGGCACTCATATGGGCATCTTGTATAATAATTGCAATGATATATGACCTAAATTGTGGTCTCAATTGTGATTGTAAATTAAGGACTACTTGTGCAGCCTTTCAAAATTGTTTGCTTACATTGATTTAGGCTGATTTCTTGAGTTTAGGGGATGTGTGAGTGGGATACAGTACCTGATATATAGTTGTAATGTTAGCGTATGTAAAGTTATGTATGCAGTTATGTACTGGTAATCTGTATGTGTACAATATTATTTCATTTTTTGGTAAATATTATTACACAGATTGTTGGGAAGCGATTTCCTATAACATAATCATGGATGCCAAATAAATGTACAACTTACTCTCTTTTTTACTTGACATGCAGCAGGAAAAGAAACTGATGGTAAGTATGATTAATAACTGTGTTATTGTGATTATTCTTCAATCTGGATTTTTTTTTCTGTGAAAGTACTATTACTGCACACTTCTGCTGATAAAAGCAAATGTTTTAGCTAAAACTTTACCAAGCAGCAACTAGATAATATATGTAGCTCAATTCTCATAATACAAATATAATAAATTACTGCTGCTTCTGTGGTTCTTTAGATTACAAAACATTCTTTGTTCCAGATTTTAGTTTTTATTTCCCCTATCTTTTTTTTAATGCTAGCCATTTTCCTGCTAGACTGAAAATCTAAAGTAAGCTACATTTTTGTTATGAATTTATTAGGTAAATTCCAGGCATTCTACAAACCATTATCTCTTGGATTCAGCTCTTTTATAATTAGTAGAAAAATATCCAGCCAAGAGAACTGTTGTTGTAAACAGTCAAATAAGTTATGCATAACTTAAAATATAAAAACCATGGCTGTGCAAATCCTTTCAAACAGTTACTTTGCAATATATAAGTTTATGCATAAAATACCTTTCTCCAAATCATTAAAGCAGCTACATTTTTTCCTAGATGCATGCAGCGGCTTTGTAAACTACTCTTGGCTGTTTCAATACAGAGGGCTATGCCTGCAGATGGATAGTAAGCAGACAAACAAAACCAGTTGACATTACAGCTATGCAGGTCTAGAAAAAAAACATGACTGCTTTAATGTTTGAGAGAGAGGTACTTTGTATGCATTTCTGTGGATTGTGAAGCACACCTTTCCAAGTATTTGCTCAGTCCTAATAAAGAAAATGTAAATGAAACTTAAACAGTTCTTCCTTTATTCTTCTTCGGGATGCCAGAACTGATACTAAATACCTCGATAATTGATTATTTCTGTTCCAAGCACTGGAGTCATCTCCAGAACTGTAATGAAGGCTTTGTCCATAGATGTTAATGGAAATGGAGACATACGATGTCTTCTTGCTACTTTTGTAATGTCTACGGCACTGTGACCTGCAAAAAAACATTAAATTATAATTAATTTTTAATAAATAATATAATTAATATTTTCCTGGAAAGATTGATAAATTATAGATATAGGTAATCCTCGATTTACAACTGATTGAAATTATGATGCTCTTGGAAAAAGCGAGTTACAACTTGTACCCGTACTTATGACTGTCACTATCTTCCTATGGTCACGTGATTGCTATTTGGGTCTTGGCAACCAGCTTGAATTTACTACTGGTTGCAGTGTCCTGAGGTCACCTGATCATGATATGTGACCGCAATATGCTTGATTATTATTTTTTTTCACAGAAAATGTTACCCTACTTAGGAAAGTTCTTAGGCTATGCATCAAACAGTTGTAGAACTCATTAGAAACCATGGTTAGCACATCAAACTAAAACACATATTAAAACAATATTTTTTACAAAATGATTTTTTCTAAAGTGGCCATTCTTATTCCACTATTGAGCTGAAAATACTTTCCAACTCTATGAGAAAAAAATCTTCTTCCTTGGAATTATATATTATTCAGATAAGATTGCTCTAACTTCCCAAATCTTGCTTAAATGAAACATCTTCCATTTATTTAAACTCTATACAGCCTCCTTGGCTTTTGTTTGTGTGTTTGTTAGATTTTTAAGCTCAAACTCAAAGAAGCAAACATACTTAGCACTGCTTTCTCATTCTATTTTTCACACACCAACAACCCTGTGAGATTAATTGTGCCTGGCACAAAGTCACCCAACCTAAAACAGGAATAAAACTCATAGTCTGATTTGGTGCCTTAATTGCTAGACCAAACTGCTAATGTGATTGTGAGTTTCGGTAGCTTTATATAAGGCCGTGGTGGCAAATCTACGGCACGCGTGCCACAGCTGGCACGTGAAGCTCTCTCTGCGGGCATGCGAGCTGTCACCCCAGCGAACCTCCACTGCGCATGCATTCTTGCCTCCCACCGGCCAACTAATTTTTGGGTCTCTGCCACGCATGTGCAGGGGGAAAGGCGTATGCAGGAGATTCATGTACATGCACGGGGGAAGGACTGAGTGCGTGGTGGTTGTGCTCCCCTCGAACCCTGTTTCTGGTCCCAGGAGGCTTCAGAGAGGCCTGCTAAGCCCAAAATGGGGCACAGGGGGGGTCGAATGCATATGAGCACGGAAGGTGTCACATCACATTGCATTATGGATGTGGGCAGACACATGTGCACTGTAACGCATGTGCGCACACTTTTGGCACATGACA